ACATCCTTACCTGGATGGAGCCTTCCCTGACGTCTACATTCTCTCGCTCACTGTGTCCTTTCCACTTCCTCTATATCAGGTTGGCCAAAAAGTCTGCTTCATTTTTTCCGTAACATAAAAGACACAGTTTTCATTTTCACCAATAACTTGATTTGGATGTTTTGAGTATGTCGCCTATCTCCCACTATTGGCATCTAGTGGGGGGGAGGCCAGGGGGTGGGGTGCTGCTGAACATCTTCCAGTGCATGAGACAGCCCCGCAGCAAAGAATGATTTGGCCAAAATGTCATTGGTACCAAGAAACTTTGCAAACCATGTGACATATTCAATCAGTTGCAGCACCTTCTTTATCCACTGCACAAATCTTTTTTTTTTTTTGCAATTCAGTTGTGTTTTTAACCTCTCTTGAAATAATAAAGTACAGTATGCCAAAAAATGTTGCCTTTTTTCTTCCATCTTCAACATGAAAATGGCTGCACAAAAATCCACCAATTTTGATACGGTGTTTTTTTTTTAATACACACTGATATGACAGCTGTCACAATACAATCTAACAGAATTGTTTAGAATGAAGTTAAAGACAACTAAGTGCTACTAGAGCCATGTTACGGAAAAAACTAGATGACCCTTTTGGCCAACCCGCACTCAGGAACCCTCCCCCTCGTCTGTCCCCACTACTCTGCTGGTACAGGTCGAAGGTACAGCCTTCGATCCCTGCAAAGTTACAACTGATGACCTTTCTGCTAGCCTTGCTTTCGGAACTGCTCTCACCCCCACCTAGAATGCAAATCACTCCTCTGCCTAAAACTGAAGTGATATGTCACGTGCCTGCCTTCTCTCCTTGAAGTCCTCTTACTAAAGGTCAGAGGTACTGACTCAGGTGGAGGGGCTCCCTAACCACCTGTTGGATGGAGAGGGACCTCTGTGGAGGCTTCAGTGCCCTCCTCCTGCCACAAGAGCCGTGGGGCTCTGTCCAGAGGGATGCGGAGGGTGATGTGCAAAGCATCGCCCAGGGCCTGGGACGCACTGCCAGCCACAGACTCTCTCTCTCACCGCGCTCTCTGTCAGGGTCCCCAAGTTCTCACAGTGCCTTCGCACACGTGAGCTCATTTGCTCCTGCTAACAACTCAGAGGTTTTTGAGGGTTACCTGAAGAAATGGGGGCTGGTGATGTTTAAATCTTGCAGAATCAAGGCTAGTTTGGGGACAGACCTACTAACTCCAAATCCTGAGTTTTTCTATGAAGCCTCTGTATGAGGAGTTCCAGCTTCTTTTATAGAAAACAATTACCCACCTCTTCCATGACGTTGATACGTTTTATTACATTTAAGGAATATAAACACCTGGGCCAAATTCCACCATAATGTGCTCCAAAGGACTTTGGCTTGTGCTATATCAAATAATTACTTTAAATAAGTAAGCTATCAAGTGGCTCATTCACTCATGTCTGCATCCAGCAAGTATTTTTCACAAGCCTACTTCACACAGGGCATGTGTTGGATGCTAAGAGTCTTCCCTCTCCTGAGATATTACCATTAGTCTATAACTTCAAGAGTTCCCACCTTAGGACAATAGTAGAAAATGCAGAACACTATTCTCACAGGTGCCTGAGTAAACGGAGCAATGAATTAAGACCCGGGAAGTCTGGGAGGTCCTGGTTATGCCCCCAACATAACCTCCTTTTCCATAAAATGGGACAATTGCCATGATCTTTAAAGTTAGTGTACACTACAAATCTGGGAGATTCCAGGATTTCATATGACTGGCAAGTTCTTTGACATTTACAAGTACGGCAATGTATTATTTTATATCACAACTTTATAATTTTTTGTGACATGATCCACATGTTGATCGTAGCTTAAAAAGATATCTCCAGATTGCCCCACAAATTGCTAGATATGTTTAACTACATACGAGCTTGGAGCATTTGCAAGAACCTTGCAGCCAATGGAGCTTGCAAATTGCCCCAACGTGATAACGGCGTTTTTCACGTGTAACTTATAATCTTCAATGCTGATCTCATTGGAGAACCTAAATGAATCAGAGGCAAAGCCTTCTTTCATTGCTTTAATTCTGTGAAATGTCACTCTAGGATGCCTTGTATGTGACATAGCACTTCAGTGCAACTAACACACGTTAACATGCACAAAGCTCTTTATAGCCTTACTTTCAAGAATCCTGCACCCCTAAGTCCCTCAGCAAGTCATGATTAGACATGTGAACCTCAGCGCCTTGAATGGTAATCAGCGAGGAGGCCCGCCACCTGTTGGCGCACAGCTCCGCTGCCCACCCATGAATTCACACGCCCAGACTCTCCCCTGTAATCAAGAAGACATCTAAGAATCACCTGACACACCAGACCCAGAGCAAACTGAAGCGCATTCCTACACACTGACATAGGAGGACTCTGCCTCCAAACCCGCTTCCCTCCAGAGTTCTTTTCTCACTCATTCCAGGAAGCTTAAATGAGCTTCTGCTCTGTCAGCCTGAGCCCGTGCTGAGTACAGTCCTGGGGAGAGGCTGCGACCGGATCATCTCTAGCCGCCATAATGCCTTTGGGTGAATTATGAAGGGGACCCCTCCAGGGGAGAGGAGGCCACCAGGGGCATGGCAAGCGAAGAACCCACTGGATTTCAGCCTCCACTTTTCCATCACACAACCTTGTGCAGTGAACAACTTGCACAACTGTGCAAGGTGGCACGGCCAGATGTGTAAAAAAAAAAAACAAAACAAAAAACTGTTCTAACAAAGGCAATGACCACTAGAGAAGAAGAGAGTTCAAGGCCTAGAGAGAAGCAGAACGCCAGCCGCCTGGGGTAGGTATTTGATTGACGCACGCAGGATGGGCGGGCGCTCAGCAGATGGACAAGTGGAGCAGGAACAGTGTGAGCAGAATGTTCGCTCACTTCCAGACGGTGGTCTGGCAACAGCGACTTGGAAGTCGTTTGACGGGCGTGTGTCTGTGCATGTGGGTAAGAGGGGGGCGTCCGGGGAGCCGTCAGGAAGTGGGACTGGAAAGGCAGGCGAAGGCCAGACTGAGCAGCATTTCACAGGCACATCAGGGCGCTGAACCCCGATTCTGAGATCGCTGGGGGCTCCTTTTGTAAATAATAAACTCCTCTTCGGGTGTGCCTTGCCACGCACGTGTTTCACATTTTCCAATCACAAAAGCCTGATCCTCTGAGCAACCTGAGTCTTACCCTAGTAGAACAGAAGTTTGCTTTTATACCTACTCCAGTCTCCACACTGACTTTTAGAGAGTGAACACCTTAAAGAATATCAGGAAATATTGTTAAGTGTGTATACACGCAGGTTTTATTGGTTATGCTCAAATTACAAGCAGAGTCATTGACGCCCTTTATTTGGAGTCTCGGCCTGATGGAGCATATGGTCTGCACCTGTGAGAAACTTGGAGGACTTACGATTTAAAACACTTTTTTTTTAGACATACTCTGGCTCCAATCTATTGGAGAGGGAACTGAGATGGTCAAGTGCTATCCCTTAAAATACTGATGTCGACCGCATTGAGGAACAGGGAGAGTGGGTGACTAACCACGAGGAGACCCCCAAGATCTTCGCCACGTGGCGAATAAAGGTCACATCACCAGTATGCAAGGCTCTCTGAGGATTACAAGGGTCCCCGGGCCGCCACAGAGAAAACGCGGGACAAATCCCCCAGGGATGGAATTATCCTCAGGGCCAAGCCGCCTTCCCCTCTCCCTCCAGTTCCGTGAATTCGCCCTGCTTTTGCTACTTCGCATGAAAAGAAGGGGCCGCCGGGAAGCTCATCCCTATTAAGTTTCCCGGTTTCTTAAAGATAAGCCGCCCGGTGCAGTCTCACTCCCGCACCTTGACGGCGGCCGGCGGCAGTCAAGGGTGGGAAGAATGGGCTCTTTTCTTCCCAAACTGTTTTTGGTAAATATGATCCATTTGGGACACAACGTGTCGGCTTTCCCAGAAACCTGGCACCTCGCCCCCCCATCCCCGCCCCCCAACAGCAGGGCCCGTGGAGGGCGGCGGCCGGCGGCCGTGGGACTTCTCCCCCTTCCCAGGGCGGCGCAAAGCCCCACCGCCTCGCAGGGCCGGGGGCTGGGCCGGGGCTTGGCTGGGTCCCCGCGGCTCAGAAAGTTGAGCGGCCGCCTGGCCCGGACCAGCTCCCCCCTCCTCCCCCCAGCACCTTCCTCGCGGGCCGCGCCCCCGGCACCCACGACGGCCTGGATTACGGCGGCGACTCACTTACACGCGAGGCCGGGGCAGAGCTGGGGTAGCGCGTGTTAAGTGACTTCTGCGCCGGGCCAGGCGCCGGGGCGCCACCACTCTCCGCGGGGATCCCGCCGGCTCTGCGCTCCGCAGCCGCGACCCTCCGCGCACCTCCCAGGAAAGGAGGGGAGAGCGCCGCGAACAAAGCGGAGAGGAGGTGGGACTCGGCCGGCGCCGGGCCCGCCCGCAGGGCGGGGGGGGGGACGCCGCCGCCGAGGGAGCAGCGCCGGCTCCGGGCAGGTCTGGGGCCCGCCCTCCGCCGCACGCCCGGGGCCCCTTACCTTGGCTCCCGCTGGAGGCACGGAGCACGGGGCACCGGCCACCCGCGGGCCGCCCGGCCGCCGCGCCCCCAGCGCCGGGCCCCGATGGAACGTGGGTGGCGCCCGGGCGGAGTTGGAGAAGTTGCTGGAGTCACTCGGTCCGCCTCGGGAGCCCGCGGGGAGCCTTCGGGGACCGCGGCCACACTGCCCCTGGCCCAGCGAGCAGCGCCCGTGCCGGCGAGAGTGGCCCCAGCCTCCCCGGCCGCTCGGCCCGCCTTCCTCGCCGCCCCGCCCTGCCCACCCCGTTCTACCTCGCCCAGGCCCCCTCCTCCCCCACAGCGGCCCGCGCCAGCCCCCCGCCGCGCCCGCGGAGCCGCGCCCCGGGCGTCCCCGGAGCCCCTGACCCTCGCTTCCTGCGTTTTCTTCGGGACATCCCAACTAACCAAAAACAAGAACTCAGCAAGCACTGATTAAGCGCCTACCCTGATCTAGGCGCTCCTGCTGCCAGCGGACGCGATGTGCGAAGCAGATCCACGCCCTTCCCCAAAGAGCTCACGGTGGAGACGACGTTTCCGCGGGTACCACCCAAGGCAGAAGCAGGCGAGGTCTAAGGTCCAGTGGGCAGGCAGGAGACACAGAGCAGACCGGTCGAGGTGCCACTTGAGACTGAGAGTTCTGGAGAATTCGCCCTCTCCAAGTGGAGAAGCTGCGGGTTTATTGGAGACACCTGAGTGACCCAGCGGGCCCGGAGAGGGGCGGGAGGTGGGCCAGGAGGCTCTGGAGAGCAGGAACCAGGACTGTGTTCCTGGGACCGCTGCCCTTGATTTCACAAAGGCTCTCCCTGGAGGGGAGAGTGAAGGGTAGACTGATGTAGTGCGAGTGTGGCTCCTCCAAGAAGCAGACGCCAAGGCAGGACTCGAAGTGGGGGATTTTCTCAGGGGAACTGGCTGTGGAGCTCAGTGGGCGGGGCGCGGAGGGAGCCCGGGCCAGAGCCTGGCTTTCTGCACATCTGACCCCAGTAAAGGAGGGAGGAAAGCAATCAGCCCAACGTGCTGCTCATCTAGGGAAGGTCATCTGTGAGTCCTGCCCTCAGAGTTCCCCATCATAGGAGTCCCCCTTCTCCCCAGAACCCACCTGCCCCAGTATCCATGTCTCTCTCTACCAGTCACTGCCTGGGAGCAGTCAGGAGGGCAGAGTGGCCTGGGGCACAAACCGGGAGATGAATTTCAGAGACAGCAGCCAGGGCTCTTGGTCAGTTAGGCTCTGAGATAGCTGGAGATGATAGGAAATCTGCAAGGAAAAATCCTTCAGCACCCACAGTCTAAAAGAAATGCAATCGACTTTCCCACACACCGTTTTTAAATGACGGCCCAAGGGTTTCCTGTGAGCAAGCAGACAGGCCTGGCTCTCCACCTTCCGTGGCCACGGGCTCTGTGCACACGGAGCCGGTGACTGTGCCTTCCTGCTACGGGCCTGTCCCTGGTTCTATCTCCATGGTGCGCAGGTGGCTTTGCCTGGGGAATGCTTCCCACTTCCCTGGCCTTTCAGTGCTCAGTTCAAGCATCAGCACCTCTAAGCATGTCAACCTATTTCTGCCACAGATCGGCCACTCTGGTTTTTTTTTTTTTCCTGTGATACCCCCCTGCTTCTTGTATTGCATTTTTCCACGCTTCTAAAACATTAATTTTTTTTCTTATTATACAAGTAATATGATCATTGCACAAACTTGAAAAAACACAGCCCGAATGCCTCCAAGTCCCCAAGCGTTCTAGGGACACAGTGTCTTGATAGCCAAATATATTGTCCTAGTCTGAGCCCCCATCCCACAGGTGTCAGTCAGGAGCCAATCAGGAGAGGAAAACAAGACAGCAATTAAACAGGGAAAGGTTACTATAAAGAATTAACTACGAGATTTGGAGCAACCAGGGATTGGCTAGCAAGTAAAAATAATTCAAAAGAAAATAGGAAGAGATAAGGGTGTGAAGGGAAGCCACCGCCCCCAGGGCCCAGCTGGAGCACCCAAGGAGGAGCCTCCCCGCCCCCAAGCCAAGCCGCAGACCCCGTGGGGGAGGCCATGGCCAGGGCTCACTAGGAAGTGGAAAATTCCCTGTGGTATCGCACCAGTGGCACTTGCTGAGACTCTACCCTCTAGAGCACGAGAAAGCTGCTCCAAGGGAGCATCTCATGGGAGCACTTCACTGCAAAACCACCCAAAGACCGGGTGACAGGAGATGCTGACGGGCACAGGGTGCCTGCCCGTGGTGGCTCTGCACTGCAGGGTCCCGGCGACCAGCAGGCAGAACCCTGTCTCCCTGCACTATCTCCCCACGCCCTCCCCTGACAGAGCTTGACAGGAGGCAGCTGGGTAAGGGAATCACAGAAAGGGCCCAGGTCCATTTTTACAGACAAGGCACAAAGGGCGACTTCGGGGCTGACTGGCAATGAGTTGAGAATGGCAGGACATGTCACCTCCGCTAGTCCAGGCACTGTCCGGGTTCCCTTCCCCAAATATACCTCCACATTCGAGGCGAATGCTACCGTTTCTACAAACCTCTCCTGCTGGCCCGACCCCCCTGGCCATTGTGCTCCCCGAGGCCACTCCTACTGTCTCTCAGCATTCCCCTCCCCCCACCACAGCTTTGCCCAAGTGAAGTCCTGGGCTCCCCTTATCCCGTCCCTGACAGCACACTAAAACCAAGCTGTGAGGGGCACCAACATTTAACAGAAGACTTGGGGAAAACAGAAAGGCGTCAGAGAAAAAAGTTAAAACCAAATGTGGGTCCCCAATGGGTGAAACCACCTACAAGGCTCCCTGCAAGGTGTCCCTCTCCTTAGCCCAAGTCCTGTACAGGGGACCGGCAGATCCTCCCGAGTCCAGGCTGCAATGCACCAAGGTCTAGCGAGAGAGAAAAAGTTCCTCCTCACCCACAGTCTCAGGCCCAGTCCACTAAATAAATAATAATCTGTGGAGATGCAGCCCTGTCTGCGGTGGAGATGAACATTCATGTTTTCTTAGGAGGAGGAATTCAGCCCCCAATACTAAACTCTCTCATTTATTAATCCATTTGCGGAACGTGTACTCCGTACCTGGCACTGAATCAGGAGGGACACAGTCTGTGTAATTGGTATGACCTGAGGGAGATGGTAAATGAACGATTTTACAAATACAGCCATTGGCTGCGTAACATTTCAGTCAATGACAGTGAACCCATAGATTATAAGGGAGCGGAAAATTCCTCTCGCCCAGTCACATCGTAGCCCCTGTAATGTCATAGCACGGGCATTACCCACGTGCCTGTGGGATGCTGGTGGCCCAGGCCGGCTGCGGTGCCTGTCCTATACGAGAACAGCACACACAGTTGGTTACGTACACGCCCAGCACTTAATGATACAACCGACCACGTCAGCGGCTTATGCAACTTCAGTCCCGCCAGCTCCGTGCGTTGCTAAGCACCCTGTACAGTGCGCCATGTTCAATCTTTTACACCATCTTCTGACGGTGTCTTGTCCCTGTCTACACCGGCACTTACCACTGTGTTCAGTTGCTTACAGTGTGCGGCACAGTAACTCGCTCTTCAGGCCTCACCACTGAGCACGCGTAGCAGGCTGGGCCGCCACGGTTTGTGTCCCTGCACTCTGGGGCGTTTACACAACGATGAAATCGTGTGATGGTGCTCTTTCTCAGAACATGTCGCCATTGTGAGCCGATGTGTGACTGCTATTTTTTTTTAAAGATTTTATTTATTTATTTTTAGAGAGGACGAGGGGGAGAAAGAGAGGAAGAGAAACATCAATGTGCAAGAGAAACAGATTGCTTGCCTCTCACTTGCCCCCAACTAGGGACCTGGCCGGCAACCCAGGCACGTGCCCTGACTGGGAATCGATCTGGTGACCTTTCAGTTGGCAGGCTGGTGCTCACTGCACTGAACCACACCAGCCAGAGATAACTGTTACTCTTTTTTATGTCTCTGCTAAAGATGCAGAGTATGATGACGACAGTTAACATGGCTCTAGGGCTCCAGAGGGCCCCCTAGAGGAAGTAGCGTTTGAGCTGGGCCCTGGAGGATGATTTGAGTTGGATCATTCCAGTAACACGGTAAATTTGAGGCTCTAAGGTGGGAAAGAACTGGGACCCTTCCAGAGGAAAACCAGTAGGAACAAAGTGACAGGAGAGGAGGCCAAAGAAGCAAGCAAGAGCCAGTCATGCTCTTGTAGGCATGGCGAGGCTTTTATCCTCAGAACAAAGAGAACCCCCTGGACAGTTTTAAGCACCAGCCTGGCCAGGGGGCCGGAGAAGGGACTGGAGGGTGCATTTGGGAAGAGTGTGGGGGGAATATGGGAAGCTAGTGCTCAGAGCAGAGGTTGGACCTGGAGAGCCGGACTGAGAAATGATTGGCTTGTAGGAAGAATATACAAGCCCCGAGTGTGGCCGAGATGCCCATGGTCAAGACTGTACAATAAGAAGGGACAAAACCCTGGAAAGGTGGGGTGGGTTGGCGACAGGAACAGAGATGGAAAGCCAGGGACGTGGGGACAATCAGGAGGTTACACCAGGTCACCCTCGCTGCGGAGAGGGTTGGCTTCTGTGTTTGACTAACCAGATGCCCCAATGAAAGCAAATCTGCTCCAGAAGATGAACTGGCATTTCTGCTCGGGGCATAGCCATCAAAACTATTCAGCTACAGTGCCCTCCTGTTTTCTAAAAAGTTAAAAATAATATGAGGTAAAAACAAGCATTTTGCCATGTTTTCTTGCAGAATCTTCCTATGAGAATTACCCAGCTCCAACTCCTTGAGGGAAAGGATCATGCCTTCACCCTTCTACCCCCAGAAACTCCGGACACTTCCCGGCACATAGGAGGCACCTGGCAACGTTTCCAGAGCTGGATTTTGTTTCCAGAATCTCTCCAGGACTGTGCGGTGTTTCGTTGGGACTTCTGGTAGCACAACATTGAGCTGATGGCTTTGACAAACAAGTCGTCCTTCCCCCCACCCGAGATCCACCTGAAAAAGAGGTTCCTTGAAATCCCCTTCTTGCTTTTGGAAAACTCTTCTTTTAAGTTGTGGCTCTCGCCGGTCTTTCTCAGCACCGGAGAGAAGAGAGTTGTGCCGCCCCGTGAACTCTGCCCCTGAAGTCGGCCTGGGCCCCACGGACTACAGGAATGACACACGCACACACACGGAACAGCAGTGTCCCTCCAGAATGGCCTTATGGAATGCCCATCCCCACGGGAGCAAGGGCAGTCTCTGTGTGGCGTGAACAGGAGTCCAGCGATGGCTACTTCCACTGAGTGCCTTTGCATCACTGTGTGCCCATGACATTCACAGGCTCAGGCAGGCGAAGGCCACGTGACTCAAGTCCAGCCATCCCTCCAGGGAACGGCCTTTGCACGGAAGGCCACATCGCTGCTTCCTGAAGGCTGCTCAGCCAAATACAAATGAGTGGGCCACTCATGAGCTGGCATGATTCACTTCGCTGCATTTTTCAAAGTCCTGAAAGAGAGAAGGCAGTAGGGTATAATCCCAAAGGGCTGCATTTAACCCAAACATCTGGATCCCCCCTCCACTGAATCCACCTCAAACCACCTGTGCATGTGTATGATGTGCAGGTGACAGGTAGAGCTGGAGAGTGAGCACACACCTGTGTCCCTGGGTGATGGGTCTCTCTTTCCCTTGGATTCATCTGACCAGTTCTCATTCCCACCGATCAGTTCCTGGCGCCTACTTTATCTGTCTTTGGAAGAAGGCTGATACGCAAAAGAAAGGTCGCCTGGTAGGATCACTCCTGGATGATAAAAGGTCCCTGTTTGTTTGGGAGACTGCTC